TCTACAGGTGAGTCTACGATTGACAACACTGATGTCTGAAACATGGAATAATGTCAATAGCAAACATTCACTTAAAGCTATGACTGCTGAGTCTCATGATGAAAATGGAATCTCTCCCTTCGCTGACAGTAGTTTTACTGCTGTTGAAAATGGCAGTTTCGGGGGAGATGGGAAGGGATGGGAAGGGGAAACAAAGGAGGAGGCAACAATGCTTGATAAGAAATGTACTCATTACCTTGCTCATGTAATTGTAACCCCTCTGTACAGTATTTTCACAATAAAAAAAAAAGGGCTGGGAAGGTGGCTCAGTGGTAGAGCGCTTGCCTTGCATGTATGAGGCCCTGGGTTCAATTCCTCAGCACCACATAAGCAGAAAAAGCCGGAAGTGGTGCTGTGGCTCAAGTGATATGGAGCTAGCCTTGAGCTGAAGAGCTGAGGGACAGTGCCCTAAGCCTCTCAGAGTTCAGGCCCCACAATTGTCAAAAAAAAAAAAAAATGACAGTTTAACTATCTAAAATTTCCTCTCCCTAATAGAAATGGTTAACTGCACAACTGGAGCAATTTCAGGGCTAACACACAAGGTAAATTCAGGACAGGCTGGACACTGTGTGCTTGGTGGGAATGAGGGACTGCTATTGTTTTTGTTTTTTTGGCATTGCTTGATTTGAATCCTCCAAGAAGTTCTTGAGAAGAAAATGGTTATTATTCACGGTTTAAGTGTAGGCCATACAGCACAACTTTTGGTGAGATAAATCTGTGAGAATCTCCCTAATACAAATCGCACACGGAGGGGAAAATGTGGCCCCCAGACTTCCTCTAATTAAATGGCTGTCTAATAAAACACCACCAATGGCGTCCAGATGCACAGCAGAGGAGGCCGGAGCCCTCCAAGTTCTGGAACTCATTAAATACATTTCTTCATGCTACAAAAATTCCTTTCTAGTTTGTTTTTTAACAAGCAACAGCAAAAGCAACCATGAAAGGCTCTATGCTTCACATATTTTAAAATAATATCCAATAAGAGATATTAATGGAAGAGGCTCTGAAGTAACTACAGTTGACTTCAAGGTATTTGTTTCTATATAGGTTCTGTTCTCAATCCATGGCCTTCTGATATAGTTTTTATAGAGCAGTGAGCACACAGGATCTGAAAGCCCGATTTCTTATTGAATCAGTAGACAATGGACTAGTGCCCTAGAAAGACTGGTTTTCAGGTCTTAGGAAGCCATTGCAAACTGAACGTGTCATCGGTTTCTACTGTCTACCTTGGCCTTTCTTCATGTTAATTCACTGTTGCATGTGTGTGGTCCTTTCTTATGTCACACAGTGAGACTCTACAGTCCCAGGTTAAGGGGACTGGGGACTAGAGTCTTCCCCAAAAGTCAAAACATGCAAGATGGGCTGACAAACATCCCTGGCTTCTCCTGAACTCCACAGTGATGGCAGGAGCGATCACCCCCTAAGCAGGCAGACATTCCTATGCTCTCTGGCCAATGTTCTAGAATCTTTGTGAGCATGGGACAAAGTCTCCTAGTGACAAGTAATGACTAGTCTCAGCACTAGGACACAAGGCCTTAGATGATGCCCCTACTCTTGTAAGCACTATTAATCATACAGGACTGCCACGTTTATAAACACTGGCCAAGAAGTACAAACTGAATTGCATTAATGGTACAAAACTAACAGGGGAAAAAAAACAACAGTCTTATATGCAACCCTAAAAGTAGGAACTCGATCAGAGTACAACTGAGCACACAGGACTAACTGCTACTAACGTGTTTTAGCTAAAATTACTTGCATAAGAAAAAGCAAAACAAAAGAACTACTGGTGTATGTTTTGCTTTGGAGGTTAACATTGGATGATTCATATTGTATTATAAGTTAATATGCAATATTCACTTATATTTAATTATCAGACTACTATAAAATTATAGGAAAAGAAACAATCATTTGAACAAACCATTTTTACAATTAAGTAACAGGATTTCAAGTTTCACTTTGCTTAGCTTGCATCTGACTAAGCATTCACATAGCAAACTGACATCTCTCCTAAGTCTAATCCTCGGAGACATACGACAACCACAAACCCCAACAACATAAGAGCAGTCATTCTCACTTTCTATGGCTTGTAGTTATCTGTGTCCGTGAGCCATGGTCTTCAGATCTGACTTAATTGTTAAGCCATATAGACAAGTCTCTCAAATTAAAATGTACATTCTACAAGGTCCTATTGCACCAAGATCTTACCAAGTAGTTTCAGCATCACTGTGCACAGCTATATACCATGCAAAGTCACTTCACTTTGTCAGAACAAGTTTTCTCATCCCAATGAAGGTTTATCTAGATAACTTACAAGGTCTCCTTCTAGTTCTAAAATTCAGTTGAGTTTATAAATAAATCTAAAGCAGGAGATAAACAGACTTCAACAAACAACTTTCAAAAACTATCCGATAATCAGTTTGATTCATTACCCATGCACTGAATCAAAAGATTAGGGGAAATAAAACAAAGATGCTTATATAAAAATGGACTAAGTCTTCTGAATTTCTAAACCGACCTCTGGACCTTCATGTGGACAAATGATCCTCTGGGAAGCACAGGTGAGCCAGGACTTCTGCTTTGTTTTCTCCTGAATTCTACCCAGCTTCCTACACATGCCAGTTCTTCCTCTGTGACGCCATCATGGCCTGAGTCTTGTAAGACTACTGGCAGGAACCGATCATCTTGCCACTAATTAAGATCTAAAAAATATCTGTTCTACAATTTTTTTTTTTTTACAAAAGTACCAAAGACTGGAAAGTACAAAGAACAAGATTGAAAGATAAAAGCGCTTCCCTTGTCACACCCTCCTCACACTGCAAGCGAGCCAACGAATCCAGCTCTCCTTCTCACCACTGGTCCTTATGAGGCACTCAGGTCAGCCTGTGAAGTGAACCTGGGCTCCTAGAAAAGCCATCTGGGGAACCCCGGCGGGAACCTAGGCCAACAGATCAAAATCTCTAGGGCTAGCACCAAGCAGCGACTAATTTCCCCAGGGATTCAGCTAAGACACCCAGTGTGAGCTCAAACCAGGCTCCTGGATCTACAGCAGAGGATACTGAGTGACAGGCACCGACCAAAGAGTGCAAAGTCTAAAAAGAAGTCGGCTTTTATGACTTGGGCTTTCTTGTTGGGCTGCCCAGGGAAACAGCCTTGTGTCACTATTTATAAGAAAACTCACAGAAGTCATGTGGGGCAATGACCCTGCGCTGCAGGGCCTAGTAGGCAGGCAGTTAGTAGCCTATGGTGAAGAGTCATTTCCCCACCTGTCACGGAGCATCCCGAGGGATGACTTTTTTAAGCAGAGCTATCCAATTCACCAATGCAAACCCAAATCACACCAATAACCCCACGGGAAACCTTACCATTTGTAGAGATTTAACCATCTCTCCAGCATTTCATCTGAAACACCGAAATAACCCCAAATGCTCATTAAATATTCACTATCTGGAGTACGAGTTCACGAACACAATCTCAACTAGCAATCAATGTACATTTTGGCCTTGAACTTTTGTCCATGCCTCACTCTTTGAGACACAGAAAAGCAGCCCTCCTTTTAAAGAAGGGAGGAGGAAGGCAAAGCCAAGGCTTTTGCTGAGATCTGAGACACTTCAAACAGTTACCCAATAGGAAAAAAGGATCTGCATACATCATTGGACAGTCACAGAAAATTGCCACGGAAATATAACACACTGTACACACCCCCAGATTCATCATAAAGTATTTCTTCCTAGCTGCCAACCAATAAAAGAAACGAGCTCCTGGGAAGCTGTCACTGGGACTTGCTTTTTGTCTATGGACCATCTTTTTGGGAAAGCGAGTCACTCCTGTGCTCTGCTTTTCGTAAAGGTTTTAGAAGTCAGGCCTACTCTATCCAAACATGTGCCTATCCAAAATTCCCTCCAGTAAATGCCGACAACAAAATGAACACGTCCCTAGAACAGATCATCTCTGCTACGAGCCTGGACTCCTGATCTCAGGGAAGCAACAGCAGACCACTGCCTGCCAGGCCCTTCACGCGTCCTCCTCTCTCTCCTCAGGCAGGCACAGGTCCCCCAGGGCCTTCTGACTTCTCTGCATGCAAGGGGAGCTCAGGCCCGCGGTGGGAGCAAATGCCAGAGGCTGGCCCAAAGGGCTCACCAGAGCAGAGTCTGAATCACTGGATTCAGTCCCGCTGCTAGTGGAGCCCTCGGTCATTTGCAAGGGTGCCAGCTGGCCTGCCAGGCCGCTGGGACACACGGGCTGTGTGAGAGGCTTGCCATTGATCAGCACCCCAGCTTCAGACGCAGCCACAGGGGCCGGTCCTCCCTTTTCATGGTCCTCAAGCCTATCGAGAGCCTCTGGGGTATAGGCTACTTGGCTAAGGATGAGCGGATCTGTCTCTGACTTATTGTATCTGCTGGGGAGAGTCCGTAAATACGGCCTCTGTAAGATGGGGGAGCAGTGTTCAGAGTGGGGACCCCGGTTTGTGAGAGTATCTTCTCCCACACTCCTATCTCTAAGGTCATGTCCATTTTCGGAGCCATAGCCTTGGGACCCAGTCCTGTCCCAGCTCATATTTGGACTTGAACTTCTGCTGCCGGGGGACAGTGGCGTTTCCAAGGGGCTGTGTGCACCCGAGGCCCGGAACATCTCCTCTATCAGGGAGCTATGCCTCGGGAGGCCTGGGCTCCCGCTCATATCAAACGTAATGTCTGCTGAATCATCATCAAGGAACTCTCTGGAAGAAGGTGGGGAGAACTTGGTGGAGGGAGGGGAAGCCCTATGCCTAGCCTCCTGTGACCTCTCGTCTCTGGAGAGCAGGTACACCCCACTGGTCACATCACCCTCATAATTGTCATTTGTTTGGGACCGGGACTGGGACGCTTGTTCTCTGAGAAGGTCGTATTCGCTATCTACGTCACTGCAGTCAATGAAAGGAATGGAGGTGCTGCTGCCGCCAGCAGCCCGGGATGCTGGACCTGTGCTCGGCTGCGGGGGCGCAGGCTTGCTCGGCTGCAGGCCGTCCTGGCCGCCCTCCTCCTCTTCTTCTTCCTCCAATGGCCCTGTGGCGGCCCCGTCGGCTAGCTTGCTCCCAGCAGGGCTCTGCTGCGGCCCCGGCTCTTCCACAGACGCTTTCAGTTCCTTTGTTGGCTGGTAGCTCTGGGCTCTGGGCGATTCGGCACCATCTCCACAAGCAAGACTGGTGTTCTGTGGAGACTGGACGAAGGAGCCAAGAGAGAGATGGAGGGAGATGAAGAGAAAAGGGAGATGGTTATCCTCGAGCTGGGCTAGCGGGGCACAAGTCAACATCTAACGTAACACCTTTGCAAGGACCGGCGGATGGAGGCGGCCCTGGCCTCCTCCTGGAATAAGGCACTCTTATAAGCATCAGTCACGGATGGGCATCTGCATGATCCAGAAGGTTCCTTCAGGGAGGGCCCCCAGCAGCAGAAGACATCATCTCTGCCTTCTAGAATCCTCCATGTCAGACTAGGTTCCCAATGTTTCTGCGGAACCAGACAGCCCTTCTTGCCCACAGGGGGCTTCCCCAAGCATGCATGGGAAGGGAGAGAAGGAAAATCCATTACAAGCCAGGGAAAGTGGTTTACATCTGTCATCATAGCTAGTTGGGAGGCAGAAATTGGGAGGATCATACTTGGAGGGGATCCTGAACAATAAGGTTTTTTTCCCCAAGAACCAATAGAAAGCTGGGAACCAACAGTGCTGGACATGGTAGCATATGCCGGTCAACCTAGCTACTCAGGAAGCACAAATAGGGGGATTATAGTTGAGCCCAGACTGGGAAAAATGCAGACTCTTTGAGAAAAATAACTAAAGTGAAAAGTGCCAGGGGCGTAATTCAATGGGCAGAGGACTGCCTATTAAGCTCAGGGTCCTGAGCTGAAACCCAAACCCCACCCAGAAACACCCAACACACCACCCACCCACTCAACTTAACACAGCCTTCACCCAGATGATGCACAGCTTCTCTGCTTCTATTCTTCTTCTTAGCACGACAGATGAAGGGATCTTTTTGGATATGCACAATAAAACCACCTTCACGTGCTCCTCAACAAAGTTATTCTTTCTAAGAGGACGTCCTGAAAACATACTCAGCGAATGTCTCCAGGGACAATGAGACTTGGCTGTCCTCAGGGTGAGGGCGAGAACACATTTTGCAGCCAGTCTGCTCACTGCCCGTCACGTAAGCCCTGGGAACCTGTTGCCCAGCTTGGTGCCAGTAAAAGGCTTCTGACCCTGGCACTCAGCAGGCACTATACCCAGCAGCTACAAGGCAGGTTCTTATCTCTGCACACAGCAGATCTACCTAGCCAAATGTGGGATCAGTTCTCCTGGCTTTGGCAGATGTTTTTACCTTGAAGCCAAGTTCAAGACCAATAGAGCAAACTTGTCAGGGGCTTAGCATATGGAATGTCAGCTGAGAAAGGCCCTGCTGTGTCCAGGCTCGATGCGTAAACCCTTGTCTAGGTGAGGTCAGCCTATCGTCAGACACTCGCCTGTGACAAACTCCGCGAGGAAGGACATACGGAGGGAATCGTGACTCAGTGGAGGAAGTGGGGGACCAACAGTTACAATCGTCTATCACTATACTGACCTGTTTTGGCACTTCTGAATTCAGTGCTGTGGGCTGCATACTCAGGCTCCTGATGGAATGAATCTTGCTGTGTTTTCTAAGAGAAATGGTAGAGAGCTCAAGTGGTTTTAAAGGGAAAGGGCATCTTTTCTAACATCTGCATGGTGCAAGAGTGATGGCTGTTCTAAAGATCAGCCAAGTCCCCTGTGCCTAGTGCCAAAGGGACACCAGCAGTCAGCATAATGCTGTATCACCGCAAAGGTCAGGAATCTGAGGCCCTGCTGAGTCCTGTGCACCTGGCACTGTAAACTGTGACCCAACAGACCAGGGCTGGGGGCATGGCTCAAGTGGTAAGAGCACTTCTTTAGAAAATGCAAGACCCTGAGCGCAAACCTTAGCACTTCACCACACACGCACGCGCGCACGCGCGCACACACACACACACACACTCTCTCTCTCTCTCTCTGCTACCTAGAGAATGGATCTAGCATGGAAGCACCTCTTACCTTTCGAACTGCACTTTCTTGTGCCCTCCTTCTTTAACATAATCGAGGACTTGCTTCTGAGTCCGACCACTGAAATGAAGACCAGCAGAGGAAAGGGAAGGACATACCGAGGCATCCTCATTTAGAGCCACAAACACAACACTTGGTCACCTCCACTTCCCTTCCCTCCATGCCTGAGAGATGCGGGTTTTCATAGCTATCCAGGAAGAAAATCAGTCCTGAGAGAACCCATTCTTGGGTTTAGTCTTTTCATCGTATCTTCATATAGCAGATAAAACAGTTAACAAAACCCATTTAGCACTTGGGTTTGGTGAGGAAGAGTCTAACAATCTCCCTGTCTTTCACAAAGGTAGACAGGTACTTTTGCAAAAGGGATGGAAAAGTAAACCATATCATTCTATAAAGCAACATCAAGTATAAATAAGATACTGTTGTTCTCCTCCATAGAAAGAAATTCTTTTCTGAATTAGGTTAGGTGTGTAGCTCAGTGGTAGAGTACCTGCCTAGCATGTGCAAGGCCTTGGGTTGATCCCCCCATTACTGGAGAAAAAAATCATCTAGAGTCTCATGTCAGGATGACTATGCTGGGTAGATTTCCATATGGATCTTGAAGGTGCTAACAGTAACTGTCTGTCATAGCAGCTGTGATAGGTCTTACGGAAGACTCAAAAATAAAGGTTCATACAACAAACAAATAGGTGTGAAGTGGCTGGGCGCCGGTGGCTCATGCCTGTAATCCTAGCTACTCAGGAGGCTGAGATCTGAGGATCATGGTTCAAAGCCAGCCCAGGCAGAAAAGTCTGCGAGATTCTGATCTCCAATAAACCACTAGAAAAACGAAGTGGTGCTGTGGCTCAAGAGGTAGAGCGCTCGCCCTGAGCTGAAGAGCACAGGGACAGCATCCAGGCCCAGAGTTCAAGCCCCACAACCAAAAAAAAAAAAAGGTGTTAAGTGCCTGGCACTGGTGGCTCACACTGTCATCCTAGCTACTCAGGTGGCTGAGATCTGAGGATCTGGGTTAAAGCCAGCCTGCGCAGGAAAGTCTGTGAGACTCTTATCTCCAATAAACCACCAGAAAACTAGAAGTGGTGCTGTGGTTCAAGTGGTAGAGCATTAGCCTTGAGCTGAAGAGTTCAGGGACAGTACCCAGGCCCAGAGTTCAAGCCCCATGACCAACCAGAAAAAAAAAAATGTGTGAAGTGACATCCATACCTGAACCGAAATGAAGACCCTCGGCTAAAGAGGACAGGCTTTGGCTTTGGTTTGGGTTCTTCAAAAAGTCTAAAGAAAGCGTGATGCTCCACACAGATTTTCCAGAAGGACTTGCAGAAATCCCGGCTGGCCATGAGGAATTCCAAGGTATCCTGGTATGAGCTCTAAGCAAGAGAAAATATAACATTCAACATTCTGTTGAAATAGGAGAAAAGAAAAGAAATACATTTGTCCAATAAAATTTCAGTCACGAATTTTATTACAGCAGGACCATTAACCCAAAGTCTTTGCAAAACACAGGTGTTCTTAATGACAACACGTAACTTCTTGTCTGCCATCTTCTTCCCTAAAGAGTTCCTCTCAGGAACTACTGGAAATGAGAGCCAATGGAGCGGAAGTGTCACCATGTTGTCTGGCAGAATTTATAAAGAATGTGTTGACTGATCTTCCATTTCCTTCACAAAAATAATACAAGGACTAAAATTCTTTTTTTCTTTCTTTTCTTGCTTCTAAAATATCTGAAACACATTTTTTCCTTTCCATTTTCTTCCTCACGGTTGCCATCAATGTTTTTTTTTTTTTTTGCCTCTAGACTTTCTCTATAAAACAGCACCTGGCCTGGGCCTCCAGGCAGCCCCAGGAACGATGTAGGAAATGAAACTTTGTTTTCTGGAACAGAAAAGTCTTCACCCTCAGCTGAAAAATTCATGTCCTTTGGTTCTGGAAAGCGAATATGGTAATTTTCTCCTCCTACACTGAGTGTTCCCAGCGGCAGCAGCCATGTTACATAAACAGAAAAGCAACCACAGCTTCTAACATGCCCAGCAGTTGCAACTATTTTGGGGGCTGTCACAGCGTGAGCAGACGCAAGTCACAGACAATGCGTGCTGCTGTTCTTCCTGTCTAAATCAGCTCTGTAGAACACAGACAGCATTTTCCCTCAGAGAACCGCTTATAACAGGTGTTTCGCTTCCTATTCTGGAAGTCACGGAAGCCTGCTTAATCCCTACTGTAGCTGACTCTAGCCAAGACAGCCATGTGGGAAAAAGGCCTGGAAGTCCCAGGTGGGATGGACTTCGGGGACGCTTCACCTAGCTCCTGGGTGGCCATTTCCAGCATGTGGACATGTCACTCTCTTGCCTGGCCCTGACCCCCATAGGAGACTCCTTTAGGGGACCTCTGGGTTGTCTGTGAGGATGAACGAGCTGTGTGGTGGGAGTGGCGGCGGCAGCAGGGACCGGAGGGCTGAGGACTGCTCTGGGTGGGCCGGGCCAGATCCGAGTATGGCAATAACACCGAGGGGGATCTGGAGGTAGGATCAGGGACTGGACACACAGCCACCATGTAACTCAGGTTGTATGTGTGGAAGCCATATGACCCAGGGGAAGGAGTTCTCTCCTTAGGTACATGCATGTGCAGCCATTTTATCCTCTCTCTCTGGGGGACCAAACACAGCAGCAGTGGAGGTTGCCGGCCCTGGGATATAATCGTCCACGCAGATGCTTCATAGTCTAGCTTTGCAAAAGCTGAGGGAAGCAGTTGTCCTTGGCTTCCAGGTAAGCCCTGCTGAGCACAGACTTCATCTTCAGACACTGGTAGGCTGCCTGGGGTCCCCTGTGCACCCCCACGCCACTTACATTTGCATCAGGGCGGAGCTTGATGAGAAAGCGCTTCCTCTTGAAGCTCAGCTTCCGTACCTTGGCCCAGTTGAAGGCATTGATCTTAGTGAAACCCTACAAGGTAAGAGAGGAGCCAGTGAGCCTGAACCTGCAGAACAGGAAACATGGGGACCAAGGGCAGAGGGCAGAGGCTGTTCAATCGCTCAGGAAAACATCTTTTGAGGAGGATGCGCAGAGCCTATGGCTACGAGAAGATCTGTACGGGGAGCTCATTAGTTCTCACTAATGGCATGACTGGGTATTCGTGCTGAGACTGTGAGGGAAGGGGCTAGCCAAGGTAATGAGAGGATAAATAAAAATTAAACCATCACAGTAATTAGCAGCCATCATTTGTGCATGGTCAGGTACCGTCCTAAGGGCAGTATATATCTTATCTAACCTCATACAAATTCCAGAGACACAGATTTGTTATCTTTGTTTTACAGATGTAGAAATCCCAAGATAGATTTGTTTTGATTTGTGACTAAGGTGGCAGGGAGAGGTGCTTTAGCCAGTAGCTACCGTTACTACATACTTCCATTGTTTATTGGACAGGTGGGGAGTGGTAGGAAACAAAGTTAGAGTGGTAGACTCGGATTCCCAAGGTATTGCCTTGCTCAAGTCTCCATTTTAGATGGTGACAGATACAATCAAATCAATTGCAAGTCCCTCCCTTTCCTGCTTTATGATCTTCAGCAACGTGGGAAGGGTTGTAACTTTGAAAGAATGTGGGGATTCACTATTTTTTTCTTAACAGACGCAGACTACCAGGTAAGAAACGGTCAGGAAAATCATCGCCTCAAGGACCAGCCTGGCTGGCAGGATTCCACTCCCTCCCGCCCAATGCGCCTCCTAAATGCGATTCTGTAATGCTTGGCGTACGCCATGAACACCCCACTGGTGAGCAGAGAATTGCTGTGACTCTTGATGAAATGTGAAGGGAGAACAGAAGCAAAACCCATGGGGCTCGTAACTTAACACTGCCTGAAATTCAACCTGTTTCACAAAAATCGCAAATGCTTTTTATAGATCCATTGAAAGGAAAGCACAGGTTCCTTGCTTGTTTAAGAGAAGTGTTTTGTGAAAATATATGGGAGAGTTGTTATGGTTTGGGTAAGGTTCAAGTGTACCTCCTGTGTGTCAGACGCTTGGTTTGGGAGGCAGGACTTTCCAGAGATGGGGCCCAGTGGGAGGTCTTCAGGTCACGGGGTGGGAGAGGGAAGATTGTGGTAGGGATCATTGTAGTTCCCAAGAGAGTTGCTCTTCTGTTTTCCATTTGGTAATGTGATCTCTCCCTCTTGCATGTGCTCTACTCATACTGTTTGCCACTGGGTAATTGATGCAGCTTCTGGGGGGCCTGTGTCAGAACCCCCCCAAACTACAAGCTTCTTTTTTGTTACTCTCAAGGTATTTTGCATAACAGAAAAGGGCTGTGCGGTCTCTTGATTTCGTTGCTGCCTTCACAAGATGTACATATACAAGAACTATGAAACTGCATGCTTGAAATCTGTGGAGGTATGTCAGTAACGCCTCCGTGTAGCTACTAAGAAGACAACATTGAAAAATAAAGTGGTTCAACAGCCAGGTGACTATACCACCACACACTTAAAGAGACAGAGAAAGGTAGCGGCTCACTCAGGAAGTTCAGGATCTGAGGATTCCATTTGAAGCCAGTCCAGGAAGAAAAGTCCATGGGACTCATATTGCCAATTAACCAGCAAAAAGCCAGAAGTGGAGGCATGGCTCAAGCAGTAGAGTGCCACCCTTTAGTAAACAAGCCAAGCAAGAGTGTGAGCCTTGAGTTCATATCCCAGTACCAGCTCACAAACAAAAAAGAAAAAACATAAACTACATAAATTAAAAGGCAGAGAATCATTAGGTAAAAATCTTTAGGTAAAATTACAGGTAAATACAAGTGCAGTTTATCTTTTGCTACAAAATTAGTACAGTGTAAGGAGATAGCTTTCATAAAAGCTATTTATGAAAAGTACACTTTTTTGTTAAAGAGAGGTATCACTGAAGTGTTCCAAAAAGTTAGTTTAACCTAAGTTAGATTCAAAAAAAAAAAAAAGAAAGAAAGAAAGAAAAAGCTTCACATTACAGCAAAGTGCCATCTCTGAAGTGTGAAAAGGTGTTTAATTCTTGGCAGGGAATCTTCTTCAGTGTATTGTGTATTATATATACTCTAAGCACAAGTCCACGGAGAGATGCAGGTTTTGTGGTTCTACAAAGACAGTAAACTCAAACAAATCGGTAGCATGGCATTCGCCAGCCAGAGTAAGGGTGAAGGCAAAAGAATGTGGAAGTAGACAGTAGGGGAGATGATGTCTTTTTCTTGTTCACATGAAAATAGCGACTAGAGTTCTTCCAGGGGCACCGGCATGGGCCGTGGGCATGGGGTTCACTTGCTAAGGGACGGGCACTGCGTTGTCAGCCTTCTCACCTGAAATACTAGAATCCCTGTGTTGGCGACAGCCAGGTTGATCTTGGTGCCTTCCCTGTCCTGGGCAGGGTGTAAGCGGATTCCATACATCTCCAGCCGTCGGGCCACCTCTAGGAGCTGGAAATCTGACTCTGCGGGTGTCTGTCCACTGACAAAGCAAAGAGAGAAGAGAAAGACCAGGAGATTTGAATTCCCGGTGTCTATTAATTCCAGATTAAGCAGCTTCTCTTGGAAAAGAAAAGGCACTTCACGGCGGCCAGTGGGGCTTCCCGATCAGATGGTCACAGCCTCCCCTTTGCTAAACCCAAAGCCGGGAAGCTAGAACAAAAGCTCTTTTGCTTGGGTAACACAAAACCCCCAAAGTCTGTCTCCCACACCGCCAGCTCTTTAGAATCTCAGTTTCCTTTAGGTCACATAAAAGCAAAACACCATAGTGTTAAGCAAGTTTTTAGTCACTTTCAAAAAGCCAAACTTGCAAGTAAAGTTCAAGGCGACTCTGCTACTGTCACCATCGAATGCCTGCCTTAGAGCAGGAGAAAAGGCTGAGATCAAACCAAAGCCAAAAGTGGCACTGACACAAAGGTTTTGATTTTTATAATAGTCTTACATTATGCCAAGTTCACCGTGTCCTTTTCCCAGTCTCCTGTTAAAATGGTAACCACAAAGTCCAGAGTTCTTACAAGCTTTGGGTATCTGAAAATTACAGCTCACCTTGGCTCCCAGAAAGGTAAGTCAGGATTTTGAGCCATTCCCTCACATGGAAGACCTGCATTCATTCATTCTTTTTTTTTTTTCTTTCTCTCTCTATTTTTCCTTGCAGGGGTACTGGAGCTTCAACTCAGGGCCTTGTACTCTGTTCCTCTCAAGCCTGGCATTCTACCACTTGAGCCATAGCTCCACTTCCAGATTCTTAGTGGTTAACTGGACATTAAGCGTCTCATAGATTTTTCTGCCAGGCATGGCTTCTAACCTTGATCCTCAGATCTCAGCCTCCTAAGTAGCTAGATTAAGCATAAACCCTAGCAACATGTTGGACACTTACATTTCTGAGGGTCCTGCATGGCTTATAACATCTCAGTGAACTTTTGAACTGTTCTTGCTCTGGACTGTGTGTCTGTGTGGAGTGCCCGTGCACATTCATCTGTGGATGCTAGGACGCAGACAGTAACAGCTCAAAGGAAACATGTGCATGGCACTTACATGTGGTTATGGTGAAATTCCACAATCTTGTCTTCTAATGTATCTTGCTGAGGTATGTACTTATTTTTTGCTAAGTGCTCTCTGTCCAAAGCTTCATCAAAGTCTCCAATCTCAGCTGCAAAGAAAGAAGAGAAAGTAAAATAAACCACACAGGATGAATTCTTCATAATGTGTTAAATCCCCTAGCTAGCAAGCCGGAAGTGAGCATATAGTATCAGGTAAGCCCAGCTGGTGAACTGGAAGCAAGAATATAGTATCAGGTAAGCCCAGCTGGTGAACTGGAAGCAAGAATATAGTATCAGGTAAGCCCAGCTGGTAGGGACAATCTGAAGGCCTTGACATAGTGGGGGAACAAGGGCAGATTCCACAATGAATCTGACAACCTAAACGATGATATCTACTCATCGTTAACAGATGCAAGGAAAACAGTAGAAAGATGTGTCTTCAGTCATGCGTCCTTTTAATTTCTTTCTCTTTGTATCATTTCATTTTTGAATATGTATTCTTTGATGTTCACATGGTAATTACACATTTTAATAGTGCAGTATGGCATTTCAATACAAGACCATTATGTGTGATGATCAGACCAGCACAATTGGCAAATCCATCACTTTCTCTGTGCAGAGAGCTTTCAAAGTTCCCTCTAACAGCAACTTCCAAATATTTAATTAACTGTTACCAGCCGTAGTTATCCAACTGTGCTATAGTGCATTCAATGTCAACCCTCCTTTCTTTCCTCCCTCCTGCCTTGAGGTCACTTCTCTTCTTGGCAGTAAATGCTGCGCATGTGGATGGTTGCCCTTAACTTATAACCAGACTCTGGATTGTCAGGACTTCACAAAATCAACTAGAGAATCAGATGGGTTTGAAAGATGCTTGTTAAACAATTTATACCCTTGTGGTCAGAAATCATAGGTCACAAGGCAAAAACCACACATTTTTTCATCCGCATGAAGTCTGATACGCTGTCTCACCAAGCCTCAAGACACTTCTCAAAATTGATGTCACGTGCAAATTGAAAGCACAGAGCTTTAAACTAATAACTGTACCTTAGCTGAACAACACTGACTGGAGCTGAGTTAATAGCGACAGGGAGAGCTCTGGGGAAAACACGCTTCTTCCTTCACATGTGAACAAGCTTAATAAAAAGGAGCCTAATGACCACAGCCTAATGACCAGAATCCAGCTGTTCTGGCAAAAAGCCAGTGAGTGGTGGCTATGAAAACTCCATTTCCCTTTGGCACGAGAAGCAGTCCATCGCACTGGCCACGCACTTTGCATCTCAGACAGGGTGTGACTTCTGAGCAGCCATTCCCCACAGCCATGCAGAACACCTGATTTGCCCAAGGCAGTGCCAGCCCACCTGGCATACGTGTGGGCCACGGACAAAATCCTCCCTCACGAACAGCTTCCTCCTGTCGTGACCACTAACTAGTGCCATTAGTGTAAGGAGCACGCCCTCATTTTTTAGAAGACATTGTCCTTCCCTGATTATAGTAAAATGGATGCCCTCCATCCTGGAAGGCAGTCAGAAGCAAGGGGCCTCCTGGGCGGATAGCCAGAGGTATCAGTTGCTTTAACAATGGCAGCTCTGATCTTTCTGCAACGCCAATTGGTCTCAAGAAAATACGGTGGGTTCTTGTTATGATTTAGAGTCACAACTTAGTGATGACTCAATTGTTGCTTCCAGAGGGAAATCAGGGTTAGATTAGTGCAAAACTCTTGAAGGCACTTTCACGAACTGTTGTTTGTGTGTGTTTCAGCTGAAAGACACCCATCTTGCAGAGCATGCATTACTGAGCCATTCACACTGAACTCGGCCAATGGCAGAGCTAACTCATGCTTGAACGAAGCTCATCCACCACATACATTTTCTCCATAAAAGGCTCATAAAGCCACGCTTAGGGACGCTAGACGGCACTTGAGCATGGTACTTAGGGGCCAATTTAAACAGTTCAATCACCAATAACAACACAAAAATTTAGAAGGCATGGCAGTAAATAGTCTACAGAAAGGAACGTTAACAGGATGAGAGCAGAAATATGAAGGCAAACCTGTGTGCTGTGGGAAATGTGTGACACATGGACTCATAGGTCACCATCAAGCATGTCTGCAAATGACCACAGAAGGGCACAGAGACTGTTTTGGGGGGGTATATATGAGTGGTTGATTATAGAATCTGAAAGTGATGAAGGTTTTTGTGGCTTTATGTTCAGGCTTCTGTGTGTGTGTGTGCGCGCATGCACGTGCACATGTGCAAGTATGTGTGTACTCTACCACTTGAGCCACACCTCCTCCTCTGGCTTTTTGGTAGTAAACTGGAGATAGTTTCACAAACTATCTTGCCTGGGCTGCCTTTGAACTACACTCTTCAGATCTCAGCCTCCTGAATAACTAAGATTAATGGCATGAGCTAATGCAGTCAGCTATGTTCAGGTTTCTTCACATTGGATTCACATTGGATTTACTGAAGTACCCTTTACTGTAACTAAACAGAAAAGAGGCATTCCAGCATAGCGTAGGACTAGCCAACCCTTCTGATTCCTAAGCACTCTGCCATGGGAAACAACTTGAGGGAGAAATGAAACCTGTAGTTGTTTTATGTCCTCATGGGCCATGTTTGATAATGAAGATAAAATCAAGGACAAAACAGAAGCAGTTTGTTCTATTTGGCCACTGAGATCTCAAATGCATGTTCATAATAAGCACAGAAGCTCTAAGCTGAAAATGAGTTTGGATAACTGTCTTCCAGGCATAGCTAACAAAAGCTAGCAAAAAGCTATTCTTTTTTTTGGTTCCACTGCTGAGGCTTGAATTCAGGACCCTGAACTCTTGCTTGGCTTTTTCCACTCAAAGCTGGCACTCTACCACTTCACACCTCTAATTTAAGAGAAGAGCTTCATAGACTTTTCTGTCCAGAATGACTTCAGACCTCAACGCTCAGATCTCAGCCTTGTAGCTAGGATTGCAGGTGTGAGGCACCAGCACCTGACTAGCAAAGCCATTCTGTGGTTATTTGGTGAGCTATTGTGTGTGGGGGGAGGAAGGGGGGGAATCCCGTCCACTCCCCTCCTCCCCTCGATCAGATCATACAGGCGTTTTGGAAGGAGACCAGCAGAACTTACATTGCACAATGTGTGAGATCAGGAGAGCAGCACTGGTGTCGTTACACGTCAGCCTGCCCTGAGCCAAGTCCTGCTTCACCTGCAGAGCAAACAGGTACCTGCAAAGGTCAACAGAGACAGGTGTCACTCGAGGGGGGTAGCCAGCGTACACTGTGAGGACCTGGACGGGAGGCTGTGCCAGTCACTGCAGGGTCACAACCCCCTCCGCAAAAAATACAAAGAGGGGCACACAGGCTGTCACTCACTCCTCACATAATGCACACTGTGCTTCATTCTGTTCAGAGATGCAAAAAGAAAATGTCAAGACTGTTTAGAGAAAAACCAGTGTGGGGAGTGGCAGGGGGCAAAAGGGTGGCAAAGGGATGTGACTATTACAGAAGTACACACACACACACACACACACACACACACACACACACAAATACTCTTAAAAGAGGAGGGTGGAGGACGGAGGGAGTTAAGGAAGAGTATTATAGAAAGGATGAATTTGATCAAAGTACCTCATATGTGTAAATATCATAATGAAACCCATTTGTACAATAAAATGTGAAACTATAACCTATAGCCTGCATGTGTGTGTGTGTTTGTAACATTTAAAACGCTTGCAGAATGATCAGTTAAATGCTGAATGATTTGAACTGAATGATCGGTTAACGCTGGCTTCGCGGCTCAGCCAATGACAGCAGTGTGGTTGTGGGAAGCAGGAGCTCCTGTGGTGCATGGGACAGGCCAGCCACCTTCCACGGTGTAATTACTACCCACACAGCCATCTCCATCTGCCTCACCTACCGGCTGTAAAACTCACTTTGAGTTCTGTTTAAATGCTTTTCTACATGGTGTTGGTTAAAGCAAATCTCCATTTTGGTACAAAAGATGTATTTATACATCGAAGAAATTAAGTAAAACTGTGGGGGTATGAAAGTGGGTTTGAAAATATCTCTACGAGCTCGTGTATTTTTAGAAGGGCAGGCCCTAGTTCTGTGCACCGCCTGGAAACGCTTCTGTGGCTGCCCATAGCAACAAGGTTCTGCCCCTCAATCTTACTCATTTTCAAGAGCTGTCTGTTTCTTAGATAAACCAGAAATTCTGAGCTCACCCTCCTCCCTTCCTCCCCTCCCCTCCTTTCTTCCTTCCCTTTTCTTCTCTCGTCTTTTTTTTCTTTTCCCTTCTTCCTCCTCACGGCCTTTCCTTCTCTTCCCTTCTTTCCTGTGCTCTCTTCTTTCTTACCTTACCCTTTTCCTTTCCCTTTTCTTCCTTTCCCTCCACTCTCCTCTTCCCTTCCCTTGTCATGAATCAACCAGAAAAAGGCAAAAGAATCTTCTGGAAAAGGCCTCTACTGGCCAATGCTGGGAGGACCTGAACAGCAACCAGAGGATTGACATGAACTGAAACGCAATTTACAAACTTTCCTAAGTCCATAACGATGCTCATAAAAGGAGAAGGTAGAAAAAAATCCAATGTTATCACCACTCAAGGAGCTGTTATTAAAGCAGCTCCTGGTTCCAAGAGAGGCCACTGCAGGCCGAGCACAGCTGACAGCCTCTCAGGAGGAGGGGCTTTAGGGCAGCCAGAGCGCCCACTGGAAAACTCCAGTTCACAACACAGCAGGAGTAACCAGAAGTCTTCACTCCACAACCTCTGGAAGATATCACTGACTCTGGCACACGGTATCAATGGACATAAAAATCATTTAGGAGATTGAGTGTCCACACACAGTGGAACTCATATAATTTTCCTTCTAAAGGAAAGATGTCTCCATCATAAGCCAATGGACAATCCCAGCACTGCAAATAAAACACGAAACCCACAGCATCACCTGTGATGGACTCCCATCTAAAATGTTTACTTGTATCCAACTTGAGAAAAGCTCAGTTTTCAAGAAAATAAGACAAGTTAGAAGAATAAGCTAAATAGTACTATGAGGAGGCAATTCAACAAACCTAGATGGCGTGATATATTGTAGTGCTCAATGGTATCATGAAGCAAAAAAGAAGGTAACATTCTAACTTAAAAAGGCCCAGCCAGAGAGAATGAGGGAACAGAAGACCAGAGGGAACAGAAATGTACTCATCACCTGACTCATGTAATCACTCTGTATATTACCTCTATAATAACAATAAAGTAAATTAATAATTCTTTTTAAAAATGCCCAGCCAGGAGCAGTGGCTCACACCTGTAATCCTAGATACTCAGGAGGCTGAGATGTAAGGATAATGCTTGCTTTTTTTTGGTCCGATGTGGGGCTTGAACTCAGGGCCTGACCGCTGTCCCTGAGCACTTTTTGCTCAAGGCTAGTGCTCTACCACTTTAAGCCACAGCTCTACTTTCCAGTTTTTGAGTGGTTAATTGGAGATATAAGTCTCACAGGGACTTTTCTGCCCAGGCTGGCTTCAAACCGCAATCCTCAGATCTCAGCCTTCTCTAGGGTTACAGTTGTGAGCTACTAGCACCCAGTTGAGGATCATACTTTGTGGCTTGCCTGGGAAGACAAAACATAAAGACTCTTATTTTCAATTAACCAGTAGAACAGCTGGAAGTGGAGGTGTGCCTCAAGTGGTAGAATACCAGCCTTGAGCAAAACAGCTAAGCTAAGCGACCCTGAGTTAAAGCCCCACTCCTGACACTACTGGGGCTTGAACTGAGGGCCCATACTCATAGTGAGGTAAAAATAAAAGATTAATTCCTTTGAAGTCATTTTGGAAGTCGAATTTTTAAGAACTAAAAAATACAGTGGCAATTGTGCATATAACCAGCAAATAAAAACAAAACAGAACCCACTTCAGATCTAACAGGCCACAGCAGCGACCCTTCCACACGCTCCTCCATGCACGCCTTGCGTCATGCTTACCAGGTCCGCCTCCTCACCCTCTCTGTCAATCAAGTCAAGGAAACGAACTGGAGAGGGGACACTGTCCATGTGTCTACCTGGGCTCCTGTGGATGCACACCACAAACCATCTTTTTCTGGATCAGATCGTGGTAACTGTCCACCAAACCCCACACTTCACCAGCTACAGGCTTTAATTCTGACCTAGGTCAGTGGTCCTTTTTCAACCAGCTCAAACACAGAGCCATGTGCTCACAAAGAAGTGCTCAGGGACGGATCTGTGATCAGGTGTGACAGACTGGGGGCATGTGGCAGAATCTCCTGGAGGGGGAATGCCAGGTAATACAGAGCTCTGACAGCATTACACAAAGACCAGAAGGAGAACCTGTCACCCTCTGCCTCTGCAGCTGCCCCCTATTCTCAGGCTGGGGTAACAGGAGAGGCCCCTTCCCAGTGCTGATGCTGTCACCTTTCTTGGTGACAGGAACTGTAAGCTGAGCACTCTGCTGCAATGCTGACTTGAGACTCAGTGACACTTTCGGTGCTAAAAACGGAAGTGACTCCAGTCAAATGGACAAGAGCCACTGGCGCCCAGACACCAGTGGACAGGGGGAAAATGCAATACACTCATACCAGAATCGATGCCGCATACGGAACTAGAATGACAAAACCCGATGAAATGGTTTTAGGAAGGAGGGAAGGCTGAAGGAGAGCGAAGGGGAGAGGAGATCGAGTGGAATGCAGTCTACGTGTGTGCGAAAGTGTCACAACCCCCGCCCCCGCCCGCATTGTACAGGTAACATGCTAACTTAAAAAAATAAAAAAAAAATAGAGGAATTAATGCTGGTCAAGATGGGGAACTGGAGTGACCAAGGGGTTTGGCTTGAGGGAGTGTAAGTCCCATGTCACCCACCTATCAATTTAATCCCATGGGTTCCAATCATCGTTATTTTCTCATTAATTGTAAGTAATTTACAATTTCCCTGCCAGGCTATGAGGATCTAGGGGACGTCTTTTTCCATCCATGGCCACAGGCCCTGTTTTCAACCTGCACCCAAATGAGAACTTTTCTCCTTATGGAAGCCTGGATCCTGATGTCCACTCAATGGAGGTGGTTGAAAATACAGGTCAGGTCAGTAAGAAAGGAATTCAGCTGCTTGCTGAATGGCAGTGTGCAAAACCTCATATGACTTCATGGGAAGTTGAAGACTATTTCTGGAAGTGCAAAGAATAAACAGTAGATCTGGGAGTGACTTATGCTCCATGACTGTGTCCAGCCTCCAAGCACCACAGACAGTCTCTCCTGACACCCCCTGCCTCAGCAGGACATTTCTGCCTCCGCAGGACTTGAGGACATGGGAGTTTCACCACACAGGGTGCACAAGGCTCCTGAGACAGTGTGTCTTGTGATGAACGGACAGTGATGAAGCTGACAAACACAGTAGAAACCTCCTATCCATTCTATTCAATACGGAAGCAAAAGATTCTTCTTGGAAGAGGTTTCTACAATAACAGTGCACAACAAGAACTAAATAAATAAACTCACCACCTCTGTCCACACTTTCCCAACAGTTCCTCATCTATGAGTTTAACATTAGGCACTTTCCACTAGTGACAGAGAAGTTGTGGGGGGGAAAAACTCCAACAGGCTCATTTGGCTTGATGGTAACAAGTTACATAGAGCTAGTTTTACAGTAAAACAGCAAAGCTCTAGAGATAATGACCCACAGAAACTGAAAAGATGCAAAGTAATTTGCAAAGCAGAATCTTCTGTGGCAAAATAATGTCCCTTTCTCCCCACCCAAAGGGTTCCCGCCTCTAACTTCTTAAGCAGGAAAGACATGCAGTGATTGATTGGCAGAAAAGCAAAGCACAGGGCTGGCCACAGGTTGGACTGCTGAGCTCGGAGCAATGCATATGCCCAACTCAGATACGGGGAGGTCACAGGGGTCCCCGGAAGACACCACACCAAAGCTATCTGTCACAGGCTGCAAGCAGTTCCCAGAAGGCCAATGGCTTCTGCCAGTTTCTGGCTGCCTTTGCTTCCTTCAGTGATTTGCAGGTTGAGGGAAGTAGGCATTAGTGGTGGCTCATTCAGAAAAGTCCCTGCAGTGGGAAGAGCCTTGTCTTCCTCAGCCTGTGGAGTGCACACTGGTAAATCAGCTGGCCTTCTGGGAACAGCCAAGTGAGAGCCGACTGGCACCTTAGAGTCACGTGACTGGAACTAACCCAAATTCCCCACCGCTCCAATCTATTTCTCTCCACCCTGTGGTGTGGCTTGTAGCCGTGAACACCACCACCCAGGCACTAAGTCCACCCTCCCAGTGCCCCCACTGCTCTGCAGGGATTTTACCTCCAAAACAGTTGGGGCTCTGTGTCCATTACAAACCCCAAAGACAAATGCACCAGCCATTCTGACTGCCTCCACCTTCTTTGCTGCCATCAGCTCTGTGAGCACTAAGTCATCTCTTCCTCAATGACCCTGACACTCATTCCAGCTCCAGCGTCTTCATGGAGGTAGGTTGAGGGCACCTACCACACTGTCCTAGGTCCTCACTCCTTCCTTAATTACTGGAATGGATGGTACTTGTTCCTGTCGAGACATTGTACTAACTGCTCCTTCTCCCTGAGGTTTCCTCCTCAGAAAATGATTGCCAGATCCTCAGCACTTCCTCGAGAGGCATCTCAGATCCAGTGACCGAATGTCACCAGCCATCAATTTCTACCACACCATGTTGCTTTGGTTGCCAGAAAGCTCTTTCCCTTTTGTTTAAATGTTTTGTTTCCTTGAAAGTCAAGTCTGACCTTTCCATCCCAGGGCCTAACTAATGCCTGTGCACAGGGAACTCTCTCAGTGAATGCTGGTCACGAAACAAACATCTTTATCCCTTTGATACCTGAAAGCCAACTACCAAGATCTATACTGGAGGAAGGAGCAAAAATAGATGACCTTGGCCTTTTTCTTTTTGATGCTGTGCTGGAGTTCAAACTCAGGGCCACGTGTCTTCAAGGCAGGAATTCTACTCCTTGATCCATGTTTGTTTGTTTCTTTAACTTTTATTTATTTACTTTTTTAAGATGGGGTCTTGAGGGATTTTTGCTTTGTTTTTGGTCTATAGTCTTTCTCCAAAATAGCTAGAAATGAAGATGTATTCCACTAGGCTCTGGCTTGCCGATTAGATGGGGGTCTCACAAACTCTTGCCTTCCACCTCTAGCTGGGGTTACAGGTATGCTCTACCACACCAGGCTGTTCTTGGTATTAATAAGCCATAGGTGGAAGGGGACACAAGTTGTCATTTATAAGATACACTTGGGAGGCTTACCTATATGCTTGCTGCTAGCTCTGCTGTCTCCTGGAATGCCACCTGTCTTGTCTCATAAATAAAATGAGGACTAATAGTGGCAACGATGGTGAAGAGATGGTGACAAAGATCGCAGTGGGGAGGAGAGGTAAGGATGGCAATATGACTAAGCATGCTATCCCTACCAGATCCTAGCTACTCTATGTATGATTGTGTCTCCTGCCAAAGCATCTGTGGCCACGCATGTCCTATCATGCTTATGGGGAGGCAAGTGTCACCTAGGAGACAAGGAACTGACCACACATCCAGCTGGTGAGGGCAGGGCTGCGGCGGAAGCTAGCTGTCCACCCTTACATTCCCTCCCTGGGCCACACTTTCAAAGAAACTGATTACAGTTCACGCCAAATTCCGCAGCCAGGAGCCACAAAGATTCCAAAACAACAGCTAGGTTTCACAGAGGACAGTCACTTCCCACAACTCTCTGGATAGGACAACATAACGTGGGAAATACTTTAGCAAAGCCCACTGAGCTTTGTAACCAAGTCTTTGTCAAAACAATTCCTTGCATGAATGAATTTTGCAGGTTTCTAGTGATAGTTATGGACATGAATTGGATCAAATTCACCATTTTTGTATTGCTCTCCTACTTTCCTTCCCCCCCCCCCGCCATTTTTAGCAGTATTAAGTAGGATCATTTATGCTATTTACACACACACACACACACACACACACACACACATGTACTTTGATTATATTCACTCCTATATTATCCTAATAATCACTTTTGTGTGTGTGTACTGGTCCTGGGCTTGAATTCAAGGTCTGGGTGCTGTCCTGTGCTTTTTCTGGTTAAGGCTAGCATTCTACCATTTGAGCCCCAGCTCCATTTCTGGTTTCTCTGGGGCTGATGTGGAGATAAAAATCTCATGGACTTTCCTGCCTGGCCTGGCTTTGAACTGTGATCCTCAGATCTCAGCTTCCTGAGTAACTAGAATGACAGGTGTGAGCCATCAGCTGCCAAAAACAATCAGATCCTCAGAGAAACCAGACTATAAGGAAGAGCTGACACTTTCCTTCATCTTATTTTCAGAGGCAGAGATGGGAGAAAAGGGCTTAAACTGTAAAGCACAAAACATACTATGAAAATGCTTAATCAATTTAGAACCCATTCTCTTTTCCTTAGCTCTTTTTTTTTTTTTTTTAATACACAGTACCCAAACCACTCACCTTGTGAGCTCTTCTTGGAGTTGTGTGTGGTCAGGTGGAAAGAATTTCACCACAAACTTGACAACAACATGCTTTGGCCCTGAAGAATAATAACACAAACATCAAGAAGGCATTTAAGGATCTGTGTTTCAAATGCTATACTAAAGAAGACTTTATGAGGTCTACTCCGTCAGACAGTACATCTCATTCTGAAATCCTGGAGGATACCTGCGGTGGCTAACCTAATCAACACCAGGCCACGGTCAGCACTTTATTCATAGCGTGGATAAACAGGAATCTGCTTTCCAAAACCACTGTGTTATACTGAACAACTAAACAATGTGGAGACTTATATTCAAGTTTTAAAAACAGCTATTTGTCTTCAGAAAACATAGCCTTGCCATGACACAGGCTGAACATGATGAAAACGTCCATCACTTTTGTAATTAATACTAACTGTCAGGAATGGTGTTAGCATGGCCGGCACACATGGTGCCAGCCCCACGTACTGCCCTGGGCTCTGGTGTGTTAACACCATGGTGACGGGGTTCTGCCTCAGGTGCATTCGCCAGAGCCTTTCGGAACAGCCCTGAAGCCATTCTTCCCAGCAGCTAAAACAAAACCAGGAAGTAGGTGGTAGGTGTAGAGGTATGATCAGATGGAGAACTTGAGAATTAAGATGGAACATCAAACAGATCGTAATTTGTGACTTTTGTGTTTTAATCTATCAAGTGACAATATAAAAACAGCCTTTTTGATTGATTCTTTTTTGGGGGTAAGGAGGGTCCCCAGTTCTTAGGCTTGAATTCAGGGTCCCAGTCCCAGGGCTTGAACTCGGGTCCTGAGCATTTTCACTCAAGGATAGCGCTTTACTATTCACTTGAGTCACAGCTCCACTTCAGCTTTTTGATGGTTAATTGGAGATAAGAGTCTCTTGGACTTTCCTACCTGGGCTGGCTTTGAATAACAATCCTCAGATCTCAGCCTCCTGAGTAGTGAGGATTACAGGCATGAACCCATCAGCACCAGGCTCATTCTTTTTTTTTTTTTTGAGACAGGATTTGACTATGTAGCCCACAGTTGGCCTTGAACTCACATTCCCTTGGTTCTGAGATTACAGGTATGTGCTGCACACCTGGTTACAGGTCTTACAGACACTGTGATCTGGAATGATAGCAAGGAACTATATAGTAATGAAATGCATTTTCTGTGGTACAGAGGATTTAACTCAGCCCATGACAGGCAAGGGTTCTACTAATGAGTTATGCCCCCAGCACTCTGAAACCCAAATTTTAAGTTAGTTTAGGCCAGGTGATGGTGGCTCACGCCTGTAATCCTAGCTACTCAGGTGGCTAAGCTCTGGGAATCACAGAATGAAGCCAGCCTAGGCAGGAAAGTCTGTCAGACTCTTATCTCCAATAAACTACTCAAAAAAGCCAATAGCAATGCTATGGCTCAAGTGGTAGAGCACTAGCCTGAAGACAAAGAAGCTCAGGGATAGGCCCAGGCCTAGAGTTCAAGCCCCAGAACCAGAAAAGAAAAAAAGGGTTATATTTAATATAAGGTGTTGTCACATGCAAAAAGTAGATTTCATAAAATATCTGTGAAGACCACACATTCGAATTTAGGAAAAACAGAAATAAGATATATCATAAGGAGAGAGTGGATATTGGAGAAAAGTCAAGGTATGGACACAGTTAAGCCGAGCCAGGCTGAGTTTTTCCTGAAAAACTTAACAATGAGCAGAAACCCCTGCAGGTCTGTGCTAGAGCATGAAATCATCCGGGCAAAGTGAGGCAGGTGGGGGGAGTCCTAATCTCAGTCATCTTCAGGAAGGGTCTTAGAGGGGTGCTGGCATCCATGGAGATGGGAAGTGAGGGCGGGCTTAGAGGGATGCTGGGATCCATGGAGACTGGAAGCAGGGGAGGGGCATAGAGGAGCAGAAGCAAGGGAGGGACTTAGAGAGGTTCTGAGATCCATGGAGACGGGAAGCAAAGGAGGGAGTTAGAGGGGTCTGGGGATCCAGAGGAGTATGGGGAGTTCATGGAGACCAGAAGCCAGGGAGGAGCTTAGGAGGGTACAGGGGAATTCATGGAGACTGGAAGTGAGGGAGGGGCTTCGAGGGGTACGGGGAAGGGGGGGGGAATCCATGGAGACCGGAAACGAGGGAGGGGTTGGGGGGTATGAGGATCCATGGAGACCGGAAGTGAGGGAGAGGCTTAGAGGGGTACAGGGGAATTTAAGGAGACTGGAAGTGAGGGAGGGGCTTCGAGGGGCACGGGGGGGGGGTAATCCATGGAGACCGGAAACGAGGGAGGGGTTGGGGGGTATGAGGATCCATGGACACCGGAAGTGAGGGAGGGGCTTAGAGGGGTATTGGGATCCAAAGAGACCAGAAACGAGGGGTTTAGGGGGGATATGAGGATCCATGGAGACCGGAAGAGAGGGAGGGGCTTAGAGTGGTATGGGGGAATCCATGGACACTGGAAACGAGGAGGGGCTTGGGGGGGTATGAGGATCCACGGAGCCTGGAAGTGAGGGAGGGGCTTGGGGGGGTATGAGGATCCACGGAGACTGGAAGCAAGAAAGGTGCGCGTGGTGGAGACACAGTAGTAGCAGTTTGACCCGCAGGCTGGTCGTGGCCCTCCTGCTGTGGATCATGCTGAGCGTGGCGGCGGCCGGCCGGGGGGCGTCTGGTAACTGACACCTGCCGGCCACCGCGGGCCCCTCAGGCGTCACCGCGGGGTCAGATGCCAGCCTCCTGGGCGGGGTGGTACCCAGGCCCTCGGGTCATGGCTGACAGGGGCCGGCTCTCAGAAGGCCACCAGGACATGGCAGATAAACCAAGGCCCTTTCTGCCGCGCTCCGGGGCTCACAGCTCTAATCCTAACTATGCACTAACAGACTGTGAGCTGAAGAGTGTGGTTCAAAGCCGTCCGGAACAGGGAAGTTTGTGAGACTCTGTCTCAGCCAGAGCTGTGGCTCAAGTAGTAGAGTGCCAGCTACAGCAATAAAGCTCAGGCTCTGGTTCAAGTCCCAGAACTGGTGCAAACAAGACACCAACCTAAGCCCTTTCCTTCTCTTTTTTGTTGGTTGTGGGGCTTCAACTCTGGGCTTGGGTACTTGTACAGCTCTTTAGCTCAAGGCAAGTGCTCTACCACTTGAGCCACAGCGCCACTTCCGGTTTTCTAGTGGTTAACTGGAGATGAGAGTCTCACGGACTTTTCTGCCCGGGCTGGTTTTGAACTGCGATCCTCCGACCTCAGCCTCCTGAGTAGCTTAAGATTATAGGTGTGAGCCACCAGCGCCAGCTACCTTGAGACCCTTTCATTTACAGCACCAATATCTGCTTCATTTGAATGATGGAAGATTGTCACTTTCTCTTGGCTAACTCCATACAGAGCGTGCTCCATGGTGATTACACCCTTATAAATATTGGCAAATGAGCCAGAGAGATTTCTGAACAATTAAAAAGTGTTCAATAGCACTATGAATTTCATACTCAACTCCAGAAGCTCTGGTACTGTCCTGATTTCCCCAAGTTCTGGGTACATGAAGGGGCCATTTGGGATGGCTGAGGACAGATCCTGACCCCCAAAACAGAGAAGGACCATAAGTGGGGAGAGCCAAGCAAGGGTCTTCTCTTTCCTCAATCTGTCTTCCCAACACACAGTCCACATGTAAGCGGGACCCACTTGTCCATGAGAAACACCTGTCAATCAGGGCCTGCTTGTCAATCACCAACACACACACACATACACACACACACACACAAACACACACACACACACACACACAGTTCAAGCACCTTTCTTCAAACAGCACTCAAATTCTGATCTTTCAGGCTTTAGGGGGAAAAGTAAAGCTACAATCAATTTTATGATTACATGGCTCCACCCTCTGCCTTCAAAAGTGGCAGGAGAAACATCCGTGAAGAGGAGACAATCTCTATTATTTCTGGCTTAATAGCCAGCTTTAGTCAATCAAAATGATTCTTTTTTCTCCAAGCAAGGTTTTGATTAGCAAACTTGAGATATTAAAATTGTAGAAGACACATTTTTTATAGTATGTGGGTTAGTGAACAATGACAAGCAATCAAGAGATTAAAAAAATGAATTTATATGGCTACAAGACAAAAAGTCATGTCAACAGCGGGAGCAGGCGTTGGCATGTGTATTTACCAGGTTATACTTACTTCGAATCTGTTTCACAATAGGTTTCAGGAGATCCAGCCACACCTAAAGTGGAAAGAAACAACAGACTGAGACATAACTTCTCAACGAATGTGCAAATATTTAAAGGCACTATCTGAAGCCATTTCAAATCAAGATAGCCTTCAGTATTTCAGATCCTCCAAGCCTCCTTTCTGCAGGCTGACATAGCTTATATGGTCTTCTATACAGAATGCACCCAATTTGCAAGTACCAGTTCCCTGCACCTCCGGAAGAAATAGAAACGCTAACAGCTAAGAATTTTTTTATTTATTTGTATCTTCCTTATAGTTACCTATTCAGAAAATATGAATAAATGAATGAATGAATGCAAATCTGATTACTGAGTGACATATATGGGGTAAACAGAAAATAGGAAGTCTCAGGGATAAGGAAAGGGAATAAACATTTATAGCCTATCACATCTGTACCATATCCTACTTAAAGCTATGTTCCTCTCAAAGCAAACATAGAAGCTACATACTTCATACTAGGTGTCCCAGTTAGAGTGACAGAGCTTAGACTAAATCAGGTCCCTCTAAATCCAGACCCCCCCAACACACATAAACCATTCTCTCTCTCTCTCTCTCTCTCTCTCTCACACACACACACACACACACACACACACATTCTCTCTCATACACATGCATATACACACATATACATACTTCCAGTTCACAGTGGGTGTGGCAAAACTTTCAAGGGGAGAAAGTAGCTGGCCTCATATTTAGAGCATAAGTTAACCACATTATTCTATCTCATGTGTTTTCTTTAAATTCCTTTTGAACTTGTAGTAATTCAAAATGGACTCTATGGTGGTTCCTATTTGCATACAGAAGAAAAAAAAACAAAGCTAATGTGCTTAGAAAGTTTAGATATATACAAAGAGGAAAAAGAGAAGTGGACCTATAGAAAATGACAAAGTCACTCAGAAATTCACAGAAAAGAGGTGCCAGAAGCTAAGAAGAAAATATTGATAGGAATGATTTTCATACTAGAAATGCAAATGAAGACAATGGAATACCCTGTCCATGATTATGCTCCTGGGCATGGCGGTGTAGACACACACATATGCATTCTGTAATCCCTAAAGCTTATCAGGGAACTGGGAGGTGGATGGATGTGCTGTTGCTTTTTTAGGCAGTTATTAGAGAATAGTGATCTCAAGCTAGAAAGCATTCTTATGGATTTCTTCTATCCAGTCATTCACATTTGTAAGGTATGCACATAGGTACACAATGACTTATGTCTATATAAGCAATGGTAATTTTAACGTTTTTGATAGTGAAAAACTTGACAATAGCCAAAATAAAATACATAAATAAATGAGAGAATGCACATCTTTTTTCTTTTTTTTTAACTCAGGGCCTGGGTGCTGTCCCTGAGCTCTTCAGCTCAAGGCTAGTGCTCTACCACTTGAGCCACAGCACCACTTCCAGTTTTCTGGTGGTGAATTGGAGTCTCACGGGTCTTCTTGCCCTGGCTGGCTTTGAACCACGATCCTCAGCTCTCAGCCTCCTGAGTAGCTAGGATTATAGGCATGAACCACCAGCACCCAGCCAGAATTCATATCTTTGAAAGATTATATGGCAAGCATCAAGAATACTGCAGTTGATGAATATTTAGGAATGTGGGAAAATGTGCTGGGAAGATTGAATATTGGGTACATCTTTTCTTTTACCTTTCTTCACTATCCAAATTACCTTCAAATGAATACTTAGTTCTCATAATAAACAAGGTAAAGTGTTTTAGAGCGCTACTTAATCAGTTCAACTTTCCTGCATCACCTATCCAAATAAGAAAGAACCCTCGCTAATAAATTCTCTTCTCTCCATTCCATCCATGCCACCCACCTGTCAGAGAAAGCAACAGAACTCCCAGACACCACACTGGCCTCAGTGTCTACATCTCACAGGACAAAGAATATTCCATCCACACAGACCAAAGAAATCTCTATTTGATATGAATAAGAAAATGGTTATCCAAGTCCTAGTCTTCAAATTCATTTATCTATTCAACAGTCACTCCTTACTTGGTAACTGTAACCCCTCTGTACATCATCTTTAAAAACAAAACTCCAGGATCCCCACAAAGGTTGGAGAACCACCCCCACTTAGCTCCCATCTTCCTGGAGCCTAGTTAGGCCCTGAAGCACGTGGACTGGAAGGGGGCCGTGGAGAGCAGGTCAGGGTGAGGGCAGACATGAGGGGGCTGACATGGTCCATGTAGTCAGAGAGCTGGTGGCTAAGCAGAGAAAGCTCCAAGCAGCCATGTGTGCGGGATGAGTTGACCTAAGACATCGTGGGGATATCCCGGGCTGGTAGGAGCCTACCATACTTTGGCCCTCTGCTCTTCCATCCATCGCAACTTTCTCCATGACCCAGTTCCCAGCTTTCCCAGCCTGTAGGCCTGGCAAAATACCCATCTAAACGTCTACAAAGTGCCCAGGACAGATCCACTATGCACTGGCAGTGTCGTTGCCAATTTTATGAATTGTTTTGAAACATCCTCATCTGTTTTTGGCATCTCTGCAGAAACCATCAACTACAAGCACTGGCCCGAGCCAACTGAGCATGTGGTTTTTTTATAGCACGCAGCTCTGGAAAACATAGATGGGCCTGAGTCAGCCAGCCTGAGGGGCAGAGTTCCGGGGAGATGGTGCCATGCAGCACCCATCTTCTCACAGCTGAGCCAGCCTGGCGGAGAAGCGTGTGGCCTGCAGCAACCCAGCCATGTCCCTGGCCAGTCCAGTGTCCGCAGAGCTGGGAGGAAGGCCTGTCCGCGTGGGACCTGAGCCACAATGAATGGATGAGGCGGTTGCTAGGCAACCAAAGCGTACAGAAGGGGCTCCAGGGAGGCAAAGGGAACTGGACTAGGTTATCTCGGCAAGTTCCATCAAATGAAGCAGAGCAGAAAACAGCTCTGGATGGGTAAAGAGGCGACAGAACCACAAGGACTCTGCTCCCTGCCAATGGATCTATCTCCAACAATCACAATTGACACCATTCTCCACACCATCCCCACCCGGGGCCCCACGGAAATCCAGCTGTCTTCTCCTGAGCAAACTTCCATGCTCCCAGCTGACTAGGGGAAATGAGATCCAGAAGAACAGACTTCCGGCATCATACTCCTAGCCAGCAGGACATGAGGATGAACTTACTGAATCCCTGGTACTCTGCTTTGTCCAAGCTGCCATAATGAAGCAGCTTAAATAATGGAAATGAACTCAGTAAACGCACAGAGAGACGCGTCTCTCTCTCCCTGGGCTTGAAGAGAGACTGCTACCTTGCTTGCTGTGTCCTTCTATGGTCTGTTGTTCATGTGCTTAGATCTTACTGTTATTCTGTATCCAAACCATCCCTTTTGAAGGACATGGGTCAAACTGGTCTGCATGCCAGATATCAGCAGCTCAAGGTTGGAATCCTAGCTACTCAGGAGGCTAAGAACCGAGGATGGTGGTTCAAAGCCAAGCCAGGCAGAAAAGTCTATGAGACTCTTATCTCCAATTAACACCCAACCCCCTAAAAAGCCAAAGTGGAGCTATGGCTCAAATGGTAGAGCACTAGTCTTGAGAGAAAAAGCTCAGGGGCGGTGCACAGGCCCTGAGTTCAAGTTCAAGAACTCCCCCCTACCACACACACATCACACACACACACACACACACACACACACACACACACATACACACACACACACACAACTTCGTCTCCAAATATGTTCACAAGTTGGGGACTGGGGGTTCAATGTATGAAACACCCATCTTTGGGAATTAAGCTTTCTAGCCCATCTTGTCTAATTCCTTGCTAACGCTTCTTGCCTCCTGTGGGATACAATCTGGGCACTGAATATTTAGAGATGAGAAGAACCCAAATGCTTCCATGCCTACTAACCTCAACGCTGTTCCCTGCTTTCCCTAAACATCTTTCCTTCCTCTCTTATTTGGTGGGTGATATTTTAGGCAACGGATGGTTGAGGTGTTCTGTGTTGGTTTATTTTTTGTGCCAGTCCTGAGGCTTGAACTCAGGGACTGGGCCCTGTCTTTGGAGTTTTCTTTTGCTCAAGGTTAACGCTCTACCACTTGAACCACAGTTCCACTCCTGGCTCTTTTGGTGCTTAACTGGAATTGACAATCTTATGGAGTTTCCTTCCCAGGCTAGCTTCAAACCACAATCCTCAGATCTCAGCCTCCTGACTGAGTAGCTAAGATTACAGGGATAAGCCACCAGCTCCCAGCATTTGAAATGTTTTTAAAAAGCTCTTATGAGCCAGGTGCTGGTGGCTCATGCTTGTAATCCTAGCTATGCAGGAGGCTGAGATCTGAGGATTGTGGTTCAAAGTCAGCCCAGCCAGGAAAGCCTATGAGATTCTTATATCCAATGATCCACCAAAAACCAGAAGTGGCGCTGTGGCTCAATGTGATAGAGCACTAACCTTGAACAAAAGAGTTAAGGGACAGTACTCAGGCCCCAAGTTCAAGCCCCACAACCAACACCACCAACAAAAAAAGCTCTTAAGAAGAATTCAGTTCCACAAGTGTTTCTGGAGCACCTATTTTTTGCCTGGCATTGGACTGCTTCTTTATGCTTCTCAATTTAATATTCACATATCGGTCACTTTAAACAGGAAGTGAGCCCAGCTCAGAAAACTTACGTTAGTTGCCTGCAGTCATATAGCTGGAATTTGACACTGAGTCCAGCTGACTCTAAACGGTGCCTTTTCTGAAATATGATATGTTTTTTTTCCCAAAGTGAAGGGCTCAAGTTTAGCCATCTCCTTTGCACTGATCACACTACTGCTTTAATGGGCTATGCTTTTCTTATTGTTTGAATAGCTTTCCTCCTCTTATTTGGAACTCTTGTTTAAAAATCAAATTGCATAAAACCAAAAATTCCATCCCCAGCTATTACACATACATGAAACAGATGAAGTATTTGTTATAGAAAATCACCCAGCGTCTAGAATTTGCTGGAACAAGTTTGTGAGAAAAATGAAGTTTCTTTAGGATAAACCCTAGAAGAAATGTCTTG